TGAGCCGACACTGCACCACTGCACTCCAGCCTGGACAACAAGAGAGAAACTCCATCCCGAAAAAGAAAATTATCCTATTATAATCTTGATAATTGTTTTGCTTTGCATCTTACTATGGACTTGTTGGATATCTAGGTGGCTGTAAACTACCCAGAGAAAGAAACAGCAGGGGAAATAATTAGAAAATTGCAGTGTTCCTATAAAAGAATAACAAACGGGGGAAATTGTAAAGGTAACTAAACATAAAGTTAAATTTTTCCTGTTGCCAAAATGGCAAGAAGAGACCTTTCCCCATTTCACTTTCCTTAGAGCATATCCTTGAGAAAATTTGTATTTGTAAATTCTTCCTTTGATCTGTAAGCCTCTGGCCATCCTAGAACCCAGGAGGGTCTTGAACTTGAACTCCAGGCCTCAAGTGATCCTCCAGCCTCAGCCTCCCAAAGTGTTGGGATTACAGGTGTAAGCCATCAAGCCCAGTCCCTAGAAATGTCTTTCTTCAGGGCCTTGGAGCCATCTCTTTGAAATGTGAACATCGAGGAAGATGATGTCCTTGTCTCCCTGTCAGCAGGGGAGTTTAGCCTAGGTGCCTTGCTCCAAGCTGTAAGCACCTGCTTGTCATAGAGATATGAGTTTTATTTTTCCTTCAGATAAAGGCAATTAACTAACACAGGTGGGTACTCTAATTACTTGGTGAACTTAGGACTTGCCTGGGAGTATTTAGTGTTCACCCTTGGCTGCTGCTGTACAACCAGGCCAATTCGCTACATACCTGGACTTTCTGGTTTTTCCTACCACTTTTTTGTTTGTTTGTTTGTTTTTTGTTGTCTTGCTTTTGAGACGGGGTCTTGCTCTGTCACTCAGGCTGAAGTGTAGTGGTGTGATCTCAGCTCACTGCAACCTCTGCCTCCCAGGGTCAAGTGATTCTCCTGCCTCAGCCTTCTGAGTAGCTGGGATTATAGGCGTGAGCCACCACGCCTGGCCTCTGCTACCACTTTTGGGTTGTATGAAATACTACACTTCAAAGTGTGGGATCTGGCTTCCCAGACAGCTGCCAAAGGGGCAGGTGATGCAATCTGGAAGTGTAGGGGAGTTCATGTGCGTGGGGTAAATTTTGACCAATAAGAAAATAGCCAGGAGTGAGAGACAGGTAGTAAATTCCCTCTCCTCTCCTCCCGCCATGCACCGTTCCAAGCATGGTTTCTCAGTATAGTCTGTCTAGAGGTGTCCTGTATGGCCCAAAACCTGTTTCCTTGGGAACCTGAGCTAAAACAATGGGAATTCACACACCCGAAGACAGTGTTAAGTGTTGTGGAGGACCCAGATCTGGACAGAGGAAAATCACCCCAATAAGGAAACGGACAATTTGAGGATTTGGCATAGAGGGATGGATGGATTAGAAGAACCAGTAGTAGAATAGCTTATGGGTAATATTTTAGGAGAAAAGGCAGTTCTGGTGATTTTTGCAGTGAACTGCTCAGCTCTGTAAAATGTATACTTCCTTTCTTTCCATCAGTCTCCCCTATGAAATCGTCCATAAAGTGTCCTTTTATAACTATCTATTGCCTGTGGGGTGAATTTTCTTTTTTTGTTTTTCTTTTTATTTAGAGATAGAGTCTCTGTCCACCAGGCTGGGTATGTAGTGGTGCCACCTTGGCTCACTGCAATCTCTGCCTCCCGAGTTCAAATGATCCTCC